GACCTTTCATTTAAGTACCCACATTGCATTTTTTATATATTTTATATATATGGTATTTGTGAAATATATAAATATATGAAAAATTGATGTGGGTACTCAAATGAAAGGTCTCGATGAGTGTAATATCGGGATAAGCTTATTTCTTTAAAAATGTCAATAGTTGACAAAATACAAGATCATTTCTTAATAACTGATATTTTTAAAGATGTAAGCTCATTCTGATGTTACGCTCATCAAGAGCTTTCATTTGATTACCCACATGCATTTTGATATATTTTTCATACATTCATATATATATAAATATATAAAATATATGAAAAATTGATGTGGGTACTCAAATGAAAGGTCTTGATGAGTGTAACATCGGGATGAGCTTATATCTTTAAAAATGTCAATAGTTCACAAGATACAAGGTCATTTCTTAATTATGTTTCTAGAGATAGAGCATTTTCGAATGCAGCCTAAATACTTATCATAATAAATTGACTATCAGTGAGAATGATATGAAACCTTGAAAAGGCACAAATTCAAATCACGACCTTTACAATGACATTAAATTTCACGAAAAAAAAAAACCGATTTTATCATATGACTATCCTGGACACAAAATTTTTATTATTCTCTTAATAATATAGATTATTGTTTAAAATTAAAATTAATAAATTTGAATTGAAAAATTCTAATAAATTAAAAATTTCATAATATTAAAATAACAATAACTAAAAAAGAAAAAAAAAATAACCATAAATTTTCCTATAAAAAATACTCACTTCTTCTTGCTCAACATCTTTAAGACTGTCAGCAAGATTGAACCGCTTTTTGATCTCGCTCTCCTTCAAATAATCGACTTTCTCAAGCGGGTCATTTTTCCCCAGAGAAATAACATCATGAATCATAGCTTTATTGCAAAGATTTTTATCATAAGACAGCAAAACAACATGGTGTCCAGCTGACTGGACCTGCAAACAAGTCTGGAGAATTTCATCATCCGGACACTCTGTCTCAAACTTTTGCCGGTTGCTCAAAACATCCGCGAAGGTTTGTCCCAAGATTCGCGGGTGCTTGGCCGCGAAGTGCTTGTTTATAAACTGGATCGCGTGTCTTGCCTTGTATTTGAGACTCTGAGGGCGCGAGTGAGATTTATCGTCCTTTATGAAGTCCAGCTCACGGATCACTGTCCAAGGAATTACGATGATCGGACGATTATAGAACTTGAAGATCGCGTCCCGCGCTTCTTCTACCGCTTTCATGTTGGATAAGAAGACATTTGTGTCAACTACTATGTAAAGCTTACGCAGACTTCCATTTGATCCGCTTCCGCCGTCAGTTAAGTCTAAGCCAGTGTTATTTAATTCTTGCATTTGGACGTCATCTTCTATCACTAATTGCGCTCTTACATTTTGGATCTAAAAAAAATAAAATAAAAATTACGAATTAAATTTAAATGAAAATAAGAAATTTAAATAAAAACTATATTAAAAAAAAAATAAAAATTGAATTGAAATAAAAATTATAATTAAAAATTAAAAACTAAAAATAAATAGAAAATTAAATTAAAATAAAAATAAAAATTCAAAGTAAAATTACAATAATTAAATTTAAAAATAAAATAAAAATTTGATAATCATTTACAATCAATACTAACCCATGTTAAATTTTTTTTTTTGATTAAATTTAAAAAAATTTTCATGAAAATTGTTTATAAAAAATAATGGTAAATAGTTACAAGTGGGGTCAACCATTTTAATTTTCATTTTTTGAACGAAATTTCTATTTGATTTTATTGATATATTTTTTTTTGAATACATAAAAAATGAACAATTAAAAAAAAAAGTTGATTATCACAATGTTAACAAATTTTCAAAAAAATTTATAAATTTTTTAGAAAACTGTGATATTAAATTTTTTTTTATTGTTCGATTTTTTATGTACTTTTCAAAAAAAAATATATCAAAATTAGCATTCATTTTTAATTTCATCAATTCGTCTTTGGCAAGAATTACCAACTGATGTCATCAATGCACTTAGCATTGACACTTTCAAGACAAAAGCCTACGAATTTTTCCGTGATCTTGAGCTTAAGAAGAGCTGGATACCTGGTATTACTGACGATGATCCAAACCATTAAATTAGTGCTATCGGCAGTGCTTTAAATTTTAAATTTAAATACAAACCTAAGTCTGACATTTATTAATCAAATTACAAGTTCTTGTTCATTTTTACTCATCTCATTTTTACTCATTGATATCAGTTGATTTCATTTATTCAAATTTTCTGCTTTGTTCGATTAGTTATAATTCTAACCTTGTCAATATATCTATGTAGATCTGTTTATATTCTTATACATTATTGAGTATCACCAAAAGGATCCCCTCCTGGAAACCACCAGGTAGTACGACGAGATGTTGATTACTCGATGCCCCCATCTCCTCAACTGGTTAAGGAAGTTGCATTACGCTTCCCCAGAAGAAGACACATCTCCTCGTCGCAGGTTCGCCGACCTTATGGTACAGTCTTTCAATCGAAAGACCTCCCGGAATCCTGAATGAAGTCTAACGACTTTTCAGGAAACCGTGGACGGTCACCTGCGAACGAGCCTTTAGGCTACCAACATGACTTGTTGGATTACCCGACAGTTGGCAAAGCGAATTCTTATATATTGAAACTACTCTATTAATGAGTGCTTGTGAGAATTTTCGATTTTAACGCCATCTTCATTTCTTTCTGTGTAACTAGAAAAAATTGTAAAATTTGGAACTATTTTTTTAAATATGTTAGATATATTTTTGTTGGAAATTATAAGAATTATTTATGAATTTTTTTACCAATTTATTTTTCAAATTATTTCTCCTAGTTAATTTGTTTGAAAAATAAAATTTTCTTAATTTTAATTGTGAAGAACATCTAAAAATTTTTATAATTTATTTTTATTGAAAACATGATTAAAAAAAATTTAATTTGTAAAAAACTTTAAAAACTGTCAGTGTAATTTTTAAAAAATATTTTTTTTTGTTCTAATTTAATTATAAAAAACAAAATAAAAAAATTAAAAACGTCGGCTACTTTAGTATTATACATTTAAAAATTATTAAAATTTTTATAACAGATATATTATTATAAAAAAATGTTTTTTTAAAATTAGCACTTGGAATTTTTTTTTTTTTTCAATTTCTACATGTTAAATTTTATTGCTAAATTTTTTTCATTGTTATTAAATTGTTATAAAAATCTAGAAAAATTGTAAGATGTCTGATTTCAATATTATAAATTAAAATATGTTTATATTGTTTATATTTCAATATTATAAATTAAAGTATGTATTTTTTCTACTTGTTACTTTGTATCATTTGGTTATTGCCTTGACATTTAAATCAAATAAATAAAAAAATAAAATATAAATTTTATCCAAAAACATGAGCCAAAACTTTTTCCAACTTTTAAAGGGAAAAAAACTATCGAAATCTCTATTTTTCCCTTTCACGACATTTTTTATGGCCCAAAATAGGATTGACCCCATTTGTAAATAGTTACCAAAAATTTAATTAAAAATTATAAATAAATTGAAAATTAAAAATTAAATTAAAATAAAAATAAGAAATTTAAATAAAAGTTCAAATTAAAAATAAAATTCAATAATTTACAATGAAATTAATAAAAAAAAATCTATTCTTACCTCAGAAACAATCTTCTCTTCTTCACTAGGTTCCCAATCCATCTCTTCACAAAATACATCCCCAGAATCCTTAGTCGCCGAACACCCACTATCATTGAACGAGCTAGAAAGACTCCGCTGTCTCTTAAGATTGCTACAAAAAGCTTTCATTCTATCCTCAGCATTTTTAAAAACCACCGGCGGGTCCTTAGCATCCACTTCCGGACTCTCTGCAGCTTTCAGTTTCCCAATTCGCGGAATTTTCGCATTACTCACATTACTCTGTAAATCATCATCTTCAACCTTCTCGGCATCGGGAATCAGAATTCTTTTCGCAGAGACTCCTGGAGGAGCTTCCAGAGTCTTCATCTGCTTGAGCTTGCTCTCGATAGCAACCTTGACGGACTTTCTTCTTGGAGTCGTAGAACAGGAAAGACTCCTGCTGGCTCTGGTCCTGGGGCTTCCGAGTCCCTGAACTTCAGTCTGAGCTGTAGACGTAGACGTTGAGGCAGTGGAAGAGCTAACCGTGTCATCACTCGTAGATTTGTCAGTCCTCGCTAAAGATAGGCGCGCTGATTGGGATTTAGGACTAGATTTACCTTTCTTTCTATCAGCTACTGCAGACAAGGATTTCCTCGCTAGCATTTTTTGTTTCATCTGTTTCATCGCCGGGGTCATTACTTTTTCTTCGTCTTTGCTTTTTTCTTCTTCATCATCGAATTTAAAATTCTTTCTCGGTTTTTCAGGAGTTTTTTCAGGAGTTTTTTCAACTTTAGCTTTATCAACTTTATCAACTTTGTCCACATCTTTGCTTGGAGAAGCTTTTAACGTTGAACTCTTCAAAGGACGGGGTTTTTTTATCGCGCTAGTCTTGGCTTGTCTCTGCAGCATTTTCTCTCTCAGTGCTTTCATCTGCGGGGTGTCAGCGTTCTGCTTGGCAGTCTTCTTCTTCCCAGGATCTTCGGAAGTTGACAGCTGTCTCTTGGCTACCAGTTTGGGTCTCCGGTTCACTTCTGGGTCACCTTCTGGCGTGTGCGGTCTGTAGTCATGCTCTTCGTTTTTTTTACGTTTTCTTGTTGAGTTTTTTCGGGTGTTCTAAATAACAAATTGTTAATTATTAATTATTAATGACACTTAATAATAATGATAGTTAATTTTTCTTTGGATTATTTAATAAATATTTGAAAAATTTTTATTTATAAATTCACATTTTAATAAACAAAAATATAATTTATTCAAATTATTATTTTGATCGTCAAAATTGAGGTTAATTTTTTCGTTTTCTTCGGAAATTTTCGGGCAGACTTTTAGAAATTTTATATAGTTTGTGTTACAGTAGTAGGAGCAGCAGCACTATACGGAGTGGAAGTTTGGGGATGGGGAGAAGTAAAAGATATAGAGAGGGTTCAGGGAAGGTTTTGTAAAATGGCACTAGGGGTTAATAGAAATACTCCGGGGTACATTTGGAGAACAGAAGCAGGAGTGCAAAACATAAAGGCAACTACGAGGGAGAGAGCAGCTAGATATGTGAAGGATGTTTTGGCAATGGAGGAGGATAGATGGCCAAAAATAGCGCTGCGGAAAGAAATGAGAGGAATCCTAAACAGAAATCCGACAAAATGGGGTAGAAAGCTACATGCAGCGATAAAACAAATGGGATGTGAAGAAATAGCAGGAATGATATATAATAAAGAAGAAAAAGAAAAAATAGATGAAAAAATTGATGCAGGGATAAAAAGATATAAAGAAAAACTTAAAGAAGACGATGAAAAAGCTATAATAAAATATATAAAAAAATAATGATCGAAAAAGACGGATATCATTACTGGAAGGATGACAAGAAAAGAGGGAAAGATAAAGAACAATGGGCAAGAATAAGATGCGGAAACATTGGGAGAGCTTACAAGAAAGGTTATACAGAGTGGACGTGCAGATTATGTGAAGAAAATATGGAAACCTTAACACATCTAATAAAGTGCAAAGAGATAAAAAAAGGAGTGAACGAAAAGGAAAGAAAATATTTGGAAAAGTGGGACAAATTGGTAGAGGAAGAAGAGATCGAAAGAGAAATATGTAAGATATTAAAAGGCGAATTAGACGTGAACTTTTGTGAAATTTTTCGTAAAGTCGAAAAATCAATAAGAAGCAAGACAGAAGCGGAAAAAATTGGAGAAGAAAGTGCAGAGGTGGAGCAGAGAACAGTGTGAGAAATGCCGAGGGGTAAAGAGAAGAAAAGAATGGCAATAAAATGAGAAAAGGCAAAACCAAAGGATAAAATTAAGTGTTATAAATAAATAATATATTTAAATATATATATACAAGTTGAAAAATGCTGGAAAAAATAATCACCTTTATAGAAGTTACTTTTTAATATTAATAATATAGTTTGTGTTAATTAAATATTTTAAATATATATTGATTTTTTTTTAATTATTTGTGATGATTTTAAAATTATAATTTATAAAAATATAAATTGAATTATTTAGAAAAATAAATTACATCAAAGTTAGCCGTCATTTGACCATTTTTTAATTTTTTTTAACAAATAAAATTTGTTCGAAAAGATTATTTAAAAAAAAAATGTATTTTTAATTTTTTTAATTTCTACATGTCAATTTTTTTTCCTAATTTTTTTTGCAATAATTTATTTTTACTAAACTTCTTAAAATTACTAAATGTCTGCTAAATTTTCATGAAAAATAATTGAAAAAATTTCTTTTTGTTATTTAATTTTATTAAAATTACTTTTAATAATTATTCTAGTTAAATCCAGATAATTCTAAAAAATTATTTTTTTTTTGTTGAAATAAAATTTTTTATTATTATTTTTTAAAAAATTTTACAATTAAAAAAAAAAATTAAAATATTAAAAATAGAATTTAATAAAAAAAACATTTTTGTACTTTTTTTAATTATCACACAATGAACAATTTCCTGTGCGATAAAAATATTTAAAAAAAAATTTGATAATAAAGTTAACATTTAATTATAAATACATAAAATATTATGAAATGAATTTAAAATAGTTAAAATACCTGAGTTGGTTGACTGTCAGAATCATCATCAGGGAATACCCATGTAGATTTATTAGTAGCAGTATTAAAATAATAATTACGCCCTGGATCTGTTGTTGACGTAACAAGGATCCAGTCTTTTGGAAGATTAACCTTGGCCATGATTCAAATCAAACTAAAGTGATATTAAATATTGTCAACAACTGAAGTAACATGATACATATGAAATGCACTTATCATACTTACGTGTTGAACAAATCGCTAATAAATTCTATGAGTCATACATTATTTTTATATACAAAAGATTTAGTGTGAAATTATTTTTTACATATTGCAGCTGGATTTATTGATAAGTATGCAAGTCCAAATGAAACTTGGTAATTTATCTTTAATGACACTATTTTATTTTAATTTTAAACGTAGAAATTTCGTTTTGATGGTCAGTGTTGTTTTTAGGTTAAAAATAATACTTGTCAACATCAATGCAACATGGTGAACTAATTTATATAATGATTTAGTCTGAAGTTAACTGTTTTATATAACGGTGAGAAGGGTGAAACTTCCAGAATACTGAAGTTAGCTAACAACTGTCGATTTTTTTAATTTTTATACCAAGTCAGAATAAAAAATTGCTTTAAAAATTTTTACTGATAATTTTTTATAATATTAAAGTTAGCAGTCACTTTAAAATTTTTTAATTTTTGTCAACAAAGAAAATTTGTAAAAAAAAAGATATTTTAAAAAATTGTATTTTTAATTTTTTTTTAATTTCTAAATGTCAATTTTTTTTGCTACAATTTATTTGTTAAAAATGGTCTATAACTTTTAAATATCAGATAAATTAATTTTCATAATTTTTACTTAAATTGTTTTTTGTAATAATTTAATTGTTATAAAAAATATAAAGAAAATTTCTGACAATTAACTTCCGTGTCTTGAAACTGTTAACAAAGACCTACTGTGTGAATGAACATTTTCTTTTAAATGATAAAAATGAAATATTGATATGAATAAAATTTTATGTGGTAAGTAATGAAAATAAAAAAAAAATAAGAGATTAAAATAAAATTACCTTACATTTAATAATTTTTTATTTTTTTAATCACTTAAATTACAAGTAAAAAAATTACACGTGTAATTTTTAAAATCTTTTACATGTCAAATTTTGTTGTAAAATTTTTTCAATAAAAAAAAATTATAAAAATTTTCATATTTTTACTATTTACACTCTTACAATTAATGACAGTAAAAAATTTAGACATAAATAAAATATGAAAATTTATAAATTAGGAAATTTAAGAGATTTATTAAGAATGTCATTTTATACAAAGAACAGAGATCATTGATATAATTATTATGAATATTTATTAATACAAATTGTCATCCGTACTTTTCGCATCTATACACATACACATTAGTCACATACATAGTCAGATAAGTAATTAAAAGTTTATCTTCTCTTGCACTAATTATAATTAAACTCCAGAATTCAAGTTATTTTCGTTTAATAATAATTGTACGTTTGAATTTTACGAGCCTCACATGTAGATGAAATTGAATCTGAAAGAAGAAATTTTTAATTAATTTCAAATAAATTAACTCTGGTTAATTATAATGGAAATAAAAAATTATTACCTGCATAGTGACTGAGGTAGAGAAGAAATAATTGGTCCATATCCTTGAGAGTTGTCATAAAGTTCAAACAATGGCGCAGCGACAAGTTTGTAATTTTTAGGAACGGCAAAAAGTGCTAAATAAAAATAATTTATTAACCAATTAATTAATGTTAATAAATTATTTAATCTATATATTAAAGATATAAGCTCATCCTATTACACTCATCGAGACCTTTCATTTGAGTACCCACATCATTTTGTCATATATTTTATATATTTGTATATATTATATATATGTATATATGAAAAATATGTGAAAAATGCATGTGGGTACTCAAATGAAAGGTCTCGATGAGTGTAATGTCGGGATGAGCTTATATCTTAAAAAACGTCAATAATTAAGAAATGACCTTGTATCTTGTGAACAATTGACATTTTTAAAGATATAAACTCATCCCGATTTTACACTTATCAAGACCTTTTATTTGAGTACCCACATCAATTTTTTTATATATTTATATATATTATGATGTTATACTCATCAAGAGCTTTCATTTGAGTACCCACATGCATTTTGATATATTTTTCATGCATAAATATATATATATGGAAAAAATTGATGTGGGTACTCAAATGAAAGGTCTCGATGAGTGTAATGTCGGGATGAGCTTATATCTTAAAAAACGTCAATAATTAAGAAATGACCTTGTATCTTGTGAACTATTGACATTTTTAAAGATATATAAGCTCATCCTGATGTTACACTCATCAAGGCCTTTCATTTGAGTACCCACATGCATTTTGATATATTTTTCATGCATAAATATATATATATGGAAAAAATTGATGTGGGTACTCAAATGAAAGGTCTCGATGAGTGTAATGTCGGAATGAGCTTATATCATTAAAAATGTCTATAGTCAAGAAGTTAGAATGCAATTCAATAAAAGTCATTAATTAATTAACACTTCAGTACCCCCGCTATAAGAATTTTACTCACGCAACAACATTCAACTTATAGGATGTCGCTGCAGTGCAAGCGAGACACTAAACAGAACGTGGATACTGAAGGGTTAATTATTTAAAATTACAATACCTTTCTCTTGAAGCTGAACTAAAAATAATCTTTTGTGTTCTTTAGGTTTAGTAATATGTGGTGGAACATAAGGATACTGAGGCGGTTCAAAATTAGGTCTCCACCAGTTTCCAATAGTGTCTTCAATCACCCATTCCTGTTTGACACCATCCTGACGCCCCAGAGTCTGAAAAACACCCCAAAGTTTCAAAATTTGTCTAATAAAATTAAATACAGTTATTCAACAATTTTAAACTTCAAAGGTCACACTAAATTTTACAATCTTCTTTTTCAAAAGCTTAGAACATAGTTCTAATACAAAATGATTCTTAAAATCTTATCAATAATATTTAATAATTAAATTTTTTAATTTGAAGGTTCTTCTAAACCATGTTCTTAGCTGATTAAATTACAAATTTTACTACTGTAAAAATATAATAACAAAGAAATCGCCGGACATGCAGCATGTAGAATGAAAAAATCAATCAATTTGTTTGACTGATATTTTATCAATGATTTTGGCAAGAGTACAGAAAAATGTGAAAGCTACATGCCCAGTTACATTGATCGTACAAAATATAAAATATATTTAAATTATCACAGATCATGGTGTGTCTATAAATAAATTACAAAACTTAGAGCTAAATCTTAACTACCCTTGATACAGGGTAGCAAAGGGAGCCACGATGTTAGCCGTTACCTCTGTCAAGAGCCGTTTTAGGCCCTCTACCTCATCTTCTCCAGCGTTTAATTCTCCTCCAGGCCTAAAATCATAAAAACAAAAAAAAATTAATTAATTAAATTATAAAACTATCAACAAAAACAATTAATATTTATAATAAAATTAAGACATGAAAATTAAGTTAGCTGACATCTAAAATTTTTTTTTTATTAAAAAAAATATTTCAAAAAAGTTAAGAAAAAAAATTTTATTTGTAAAAAAATTAAAAAACTTAATTTTTAAAAAATATTTCATTGTTCTAATTTAATAAATGAAAAAAAAAAAAAAATAAAATAAAAACGTCGGCTAATTTTAGTATTATAATTTTATTTTCATTTTTAGTTTTATTTTCATTATTTAAATTTATATTAAATTTAAATATCACTTAAAATATATTATTGTTACTATAAATGTATACTGCCGATCAGCATTCTTTTACAATAAATAAATAATTAAGACACTGAAATTAGCACACTTGACAATTTCTTGATTTTTTTTTTTTTTTAAATAAACTAGGTCTAAAAAATTATTATAAAAAAATTATATAAATAGTTTTTTAGAGTTTCTAAACATAAAATTTTTGAATAAATTTTTCTTGCCATAATTTTATTATAAAAAAAAAAAAATTCTAAAAATTATCAGATGTCTCTAAATTTTACAATCATATAAAATTTAAAAATAAAGAAACTTACAATTTGAAAAAAGTTGTACCAAGCTGGAGCAAAAGTACATGAGGCAGTCCATGCTCGTGTACCAAAAGGACTCCTTCGACACTCCTACGCATCCCAATCTTGTCAAATTCATCTCGCATACGCTGAAATCTTGCCGGCACTGACGGGTCTTTCTCAAACAGCGGCTCTTTCGTTCCAAAAGTATAGTTTGTCAAAGGATATCTATGATAAACGAGTTTTATACACATTGTTAACAATCTTCTTTCCTTCACAATTTACAATAACAAATTTATCTAAAATATATCTCCAGTTGTAACTCTTCTTGCTTTTAAAAAATAAACATATCAATTTATAAAACAATCTTCAAGCTTTTACAAACAATTACAATTGTTTAAAATTACATTCTTCTTTTTTTACCGAACAAATTTTCAATTATACATTTAATAATTAACCTTGTTTTCATAAATTTAAATACTCGATCAATTATCGAGTAATTAATCTTAATAATAGTATTTATTTAATTTTATTATTATAAATAGTAATTTAACAAAATTACAAGACAAAAAAATACATTTCTTTACAATTTTAAATAAATTTAAAATTTATTTTTTTTTTTTGACATGCGCTCATGAATAAAATTGTTTACAATAACAATAAACATGTTCATGTTTTTTTTTTTTTTTTTTAACAATTGCGGTAACTTGACAAAATAATTACCGAAAATCAATAAACAAATAACAATTGTTCAGAAAAATATATTAAATTCGAATTTACGTTAAAATAATTATTAAGTACATAGTACGGCGTAAATATACATTAAATATTAAATATTTATTAATTGTAAGTTATAACTTACATACACAGAAATTGTCTACCTAGAGCGTCGCATTGTGTATGTAAATTTATCATGGGCGCGTTACAAGTGTCCAGGTTATGAAAGTATAGTAATAATTAATTTACACTCTGTTTTTTTTACTTACAAATTAACAGTCCTAAGAATAGTTACAGATTGATTTTGCACAGGCTTGCCCTCGAAGGAGCTGTTGCTGGACCGGCGTGGCCATCCGCTTCCTTTAACCTGAGTAGTCGCCATTGCCATGTTTGATATTTGCTCTTCTGACCAGAGTTTTCAGAGAATTGTTTTAGTTTAACTTGCTGTACTTGCTGTGTATGTGTGCGCTGTACTGAATTTACTGCACATCTGCTTTTGGAATAATAATAACAACAATAATAATAATAATAATCCTTTTAGATAAGCATCGACTTGTCTTTCTGCTGATTCAGTGCAGCGCCATCTGGATTGTGCGACACCTAGCGGCAGTAAATAAAAACATTAGGCGGGAAATTTTTTAAATTATTTAAATCAGCAAACAGCTGATCATTTTTATTGATAATTTTTTAATAAAAAAATAATTGAAAAATGTATATTAAAATTTTTTATTAATTTTATTTTTACAATTATTTATTCTATTAGAAAAATTGATAATTAAACTATTTATCATTTGTAAATTTTTCTTTGATAAATCGTTTTAAAAATTTTATAAAAGTAAAAATATGTTTTTTTTTAATTATTAAAGTAACTATTCACTCCAAATTTTTATTCTAAAAATTAGTGAAAAAAATTATTTATTGAAATTAAATTTATGATTATAAATCTAAATGAAATATATAAAATTATTTATCGCCTACACATTTGTATTATAAAAATAAAAGTATAAAAATCTAAAAAAAAAAAAAAAAAATTACTTATAATTAATTAAAATTAAAATTTATAGATTTTATTAATAATATTTATTAGTAATAATTACATATTTGATATATATTAAACAACACTGCGGAACACTGGATTGTAGCGACAAATTCCTGGTCCATATTCTTGGTAATCTTTTTTCGTATGACAAACCTGGTAGAATTCGGGCCCGCTTGCTAATAAAGCTCCGCCAAACCAAACCGCACAACGTTGTTTATGATGCGTAATAACGCGAACATCAATTGCCGTTGGCTGTAAAAAAATTATTATTATTATTATTATTATTATTGTGTTAATATATGACTCAAAGATCGGCATTTTTTAATTAATAAAGATAGTTATATTTTCAGCCGAGGTACCCGATCCAATTCTTGAAGAATGTTCAATTTTTCATTATTATTCTTTCACCATAATATTTTTTGGTATGAGGTCTCATACCATCAGAGAAAATCTTAGGTAAAAATACAACAATTAAAATTTATTTCGACAATTTTTGTTAGAAAATGTGTAAAGAAGTAATTTTTTACTCAGTGTAACTTTTTTCAGTAAATGAAAAAATAATTTGGAAAGCCCAGACCAGGACTCGAACCTGGATCTATATCTTTGATAGTATGAGACCCCATACCGAAAAATATTATGGTGAAAAAACAATAATGAAAAATTGAACATTCTTTAAGAATTGGATCGGGTACCTCGGTTGAAAATAATATCTATCTACTTTTATTTGTTATTATTATTATTATTATTATTTTCTATTTTTTCCGAAGATCGGTGTTTTTACTAATTAAAGAGTTCTATATTTCAAAGCCATTATCCCCGATCCAACTTGATGTTAGACTAATTTAATTTTTACATCAAATTTTCATTTATTAAATTTATTTTCACCACATTATTGTCGGTATGAGCACTCAATACCATCTTCGGGTGAATATATCTAATAATTAAAAATTTTTTTCATTTTTTAATTAAGATTAAGCAAAGAAGTTAATTTTTTTATTAATAATAAATTATTATTGTTATTATTATTATCATGAGTGTTGATTTTAGCTAAACTGCTATGATTAATGACAATAAGAGACATTATTTAAGGACATTTTACTTCTATTGCATTATATATTGTTTTTCTTATTTCTTTTGTCACAGAGCACACTCTGGATAATATAATATCTTATTTTGTATTTTTATATTATATATCCTAGTATTATAATATGTATCTTTTGACTGTTAGGAGACTTAGTCCTACAGCCAGCTAATAAATTACATTACATTACATTATGATTAAAAAAAAAAATCAACCGACCGTAATATGACCACCACTCAATTTTTCACTGAGCTTCAACCGAGCGTCAACCATTTTTTTGACGTCTCTCTGTAACCTTCTTCCAAAATCTTTGAACATCGTGGATCCACCAGACAAGACAATATTTTTGTACAACGGTCTACGGACATCAATTGGACAATTCTGGATGACATCATCGACTATTTCTCCTAGCGGCGTGGTAAAGTCAGGATTAGCAAACTCTGGATGAAAGAATATCTCTGGGCCCAAGAATCTTTCATACCCAACATCAACATTGAAGGACTGCTGCGTGATACTATTGACTCCAGTGTGCTGCTTGAATTTAGTTGGGTCGCTGTCATACTTAGCAAACTCCTTGGCGATGTCTGGACATATATAGCAGTACTTCTCCTTGATAGCCTTGGCAGTCTCCAGAGACTGTTCTGGCGGGATACCAACTTCTCGCTCTCTCAGCAGACTCTGGATGAAGTACGTGATGTCACGTCCGGCGATGGGAATGTGTTTGATACAGCTCCCGATTACGAACCCAGAGGCCACGGGAATCACGTGGGTCACCCCGTCTCCACTGTCGACTACTATTCCCGTCAGCGAACGATCTTCCACGGATTTTGCTGTCCAAGAAGCTGCTAATGCCAGCACTGCTTGCACCGCGATATACAGACCAGGAACGTTGAAAGACTCAAACATTATTTCGGCCATGTACTCCCGATTCTCCGGTGTATTTAATGGAGGCTCTGTTAAGAGGAAATAATGGTCTTCTGGTTCTGCTCGGAGGTATTTGAAGATACATTGCTGGAGGAAACGCTCCATTAGGTCCCAGTCTTCAACTAATCCATGTCTTACTGGATACTAAAAATTAAATTTTATATTTAATTATTATTTAATAATTTTAGGAATTAGATAAATTATTGTTCAATAATTTTATTAATTATCTGAACAAGTAACTATGCAGTCACTATGTGCCTGCTATGACTTGTGAACTAAATAAATAAATAAAATTTTGCTTTTTTAAATAATGACTTTTGTTAAATTGCACTGTACTTCCTTAACTATTGACACTTATAAAGATATAAGCTCATCTCGATGTTACACTCATCAAGAGCTTTCATTTGAGTACCCACAATCATTTTAATATATTTTTCAAATATACATATATATATAATGTATATAAAATTTATATTATAAATATATGAAAAATTGATGTGGGTACTTAAATGAAAGGTCTCAATGTGTCTAATGTCAGGATGAGCTTATATCTTCAAAAATGTCAGTAGTTGACAAGATACAAGGTCATTTCTTAATAATTGATATTTTAAAAGATGTAAGCTCATTCTGATGTTACGCTCATCAAGAGCTTTCATTTGAGTACCCACATGCATTTTGATAAATTTTTCATACATTCATATATATATATAAATATATAAAATATATGAAAAATTGATGTGGGTACTCAAATGAAAGGTCTTGATGAGTGTAACATCGGGATGAGCTTATATCTTTAAAAATGTCAATATTTTACAAGATACAAGGTCATTTCTTAATTATGTATCTGGAGACAGCATTTTCTAATGTAGCCTAAATATTTATCATCATAAATTTACTATTAGTGAGAATGATATGAAACCTTGAAAAGGGCAACTCCGGGTCAAGACCTTCCTAATGATACCTAATTCAACCATAAAAACCCATTTTATCATATAAATACACTGACCACAAAATTTTGCTTATTCTCTCAATTATATTAACTATTGCAAGTTTTTTAATAATAAATTTTACAATAAATTCTTGTTTAATAATTTTAATAATTATCTAAATTATTAAAAAATTTTTAGTAAAAATAGAATGATAAAAAAATTAAAATAAATTATTCTTTAATAATTTTATTATCTAAATTATTCAAAATTCTTTAATAAAAATAAATTATTGTTCAATAACTTTATTATCCTAATTATTATATACTTTTTAATAAAAAAAAATAAAAAATTTTTCTTAATAAAATATTTTTTTAAAAATGATAATTTTTTTCAATTTGACACACAAAAATTTTTCAAAGAATTTTAATGAAAAAAAATTCTAAAAATTGACAGCTGTCTTTTAATTTAATTTTTATTAAATTTTCACCAACCATAAATAAATAACTCCAAAAAATCAACACGCGACAGTTTAAAAAATAACTCCGAAATTTTTAAAACACCAAAAATACCTTAATTGAATAACCAGGTGAATTAAAAGCTTCATATCCAATATAAAAATCTAAATCTTCAACACCCTTGGTCACTCTTCTGGCCGAGTTATCTCCAACTTTGGCAGTTTCTTTAATTGAAATGGCTGAAGGGATTGTCAGCTGGGGATCCCTGTTACCAGCAAAGCCCAGTTTTGTGTACCTACATCAATAAAATAATAAATTAAAACTAAAAATACACACACATACTTGGTAAACAGTAGCAACAATCCACTTATTAATAACAATGAGTAATAGAAACAAGTGAACAGTAATTAACCAGCAACTCACCCGGTTCCAACATCAATTACACACGCTGGTGGGTGACCCAGCATCTTAAACTTAGTATTTTATTGAGCACTTGCACTAACTAAATAGTTAATAGATTATCCTCAGGATTTTGAGCAAAAGATTTTTATTTTTACAAATGTTTATGTATTGTTTAACTGTCATCAGCTTTCAGAGAAAAATTATTGCACTGCCGCGCCTTCGAAAAAAAATCTCGGTGACAAGGCGAGAGAGAGTGCAATTACCGGCTATACTTTAGTCATACTTACACTTACATTTAATATACATGTGAACAACTTACATATACTATATATGTATATTTGTTATCATTTTTTGTTATCATTACGAGCACGTTTTTTACTGATAAATAAAAAAAAACTCCAATTGTCGAATAGTTTTTTTTTAAATGTAATTATTGATATAGTTTCTTTAATTTTTTATATTAATTTTAAATATAAAAAATATATAATGTGATTCTTTGGTTAAAAATAAAGATGGCGCGCTTACCGACCGGGAAAAAAAATAAAAAAATTGACAGTCTGTCTTTGTTACACTTGTGGTGTATTTATTTGGTGGAAAATACATGTAAATAAATGTACAGCATAGGTATTTATAATATGTATTTTAATGTCAAGTTTTAAATTAGTATTACAATGGATACGTGAAGAGAAATCAAAACGTCAGCAGATTTTTATGCTTTCGTTGTCACACTTTCAGTCCAAGTCTTAAGTCTTAAGTTTGACGTTTCGGAAATCTTTTGTTAATAAATATGAATAACAATAATATTGTTACTTGTATAGCTCCTGTTAATATTGCAGTTATTAAATATTGTAAGTAGATTTATTTAACCATTTTTTTTATTTTTGGTAATTTGGATTTTTTTATTTTTAGGGGGAAAGAGAGATGATGATCTGATTTTACCTGTCAATGATTCTATCAGCTTGTCTTTAGACACTAAACAGGTAAACTGTAATTTTATTTATTGTTAATTAGTTGGTTTTTTATTTTATTTTAATAGCTGATTATTTCTTCAGTTATGCACGAAGACTACTGTGATGGCTAGTCCTAATTTTAAGGAGGATAAAATTTGGTTGAATGGCAGGTAAATTTTGGTATTTTTATTTAAATCCTTAAAAAAGAATTAAAATGAAAATTTATGAAAATTAAGTTTGTCGACATCTGAAAACTTCTGTAATTTATTTTATTTAAAAATTATAAAAAAAAATTAGAAGAAAAAATTTCATATGTAGAAAATTCAAAAAAATATATGTGCTATTTTTTAAAAATTATTTTTAGTTTTAGTTTAATTAATAAAAGAAAAGTCAAAAATTGTTGAACATATGCTAATTTAAGTTTCATTGAAAATTAGCATGAATATCAATAGTTAACCGAAATCTGAAAATTTTTTTTTATTGAAAAAATTATTACAAAAAAAAATAAAATAAACATCAAAAACTGTAAGTGTAATTTTTAAAAAATATTTTTTTGTTCTAATTTAATTAATGAAAGAAAATTAAAAAATTAAAAACGTCGGCTAATTTTAGTATTGTAAATTAGCGGATACTTAATAACAAATAAATTCTGGCAAAAAAAAATTGACATGTGAAAATTTTAATTGATTAAAAATAAAATTTTTTTTTAATTATTTTTTTCAACAAATTTATTTGTTAAATGATCTAGTAATTTCAATACTAATTAGTTTATCAAACACCAGGCTGGTATATATTAATGATGGAAGATCTGGGCTCTTAAATGACTTTAATAACTTACTTAAATTTGAACAATACAATCTTGTTACTAATTATCAAAACAATTGTTTAGACTTGTTACTGTCAAACTGCCCGAGTAGCAATGAAACAGCATCACTTGGCAAATTAGCAACTAAATGGCGTTAATTATCCGCAATTGTTATAATAATAATAATAATAATTATTATTATTATTTTATTTTTTATTTTTATTAATTACTATTATTTTCTTGGGTTGCAATTGCTAACACATCAATAGTATATTCATTTAGCAATCTAACTATTAAATTACTATATATTATAAGTCATCTTGTTATACATTATAAATTTTTTATATACTAACTATCGTAACTATTATCCTGTTAATGGCTTAAGCTGTTGGGTTTCTTTATTTAAATAAATAAATAAAATTAAAAAATGGTTGAGTAATTGCTAATTGAATATAATAAAATAAAAATATGTTAGGTGAAATTTTTTTACATAATAAAAAATATTAATTGATAATTTTATTAAAAATTAATTATTATTTTTTTTAGAGAAGAATCGATGAATAATAAAAGACTCCAAAATTGTTTACAAAGGAGTAAGTAACTTAAATAAATTTAATTTCAAATTTAAAAAATTACTTCATTTTAAATTTATCAAAAAATTCTAATCTTTTTTCAATTTTTTTTCTTAATTTAATTAGTAAAAAGCAAAGTGACTTTAACAAACGAGATGGAATTATGGAAAATTCACATTTGCTCTAACAACAATTTTCCAACTGCGGCCGGTCTCGCGTCAAGCGCAGCTGGATATGCTTGTCTGACAGCAGCACTAGCCAAATTATACAATTACACTGAAAATATCAGCGAGATTGCTAGAACTGGATCAGGATCAGCATGTAGAAGCGTCTTTGGCGGCTTCGTCAGGTGGTACATGGGCTCCGAGCCAACTGGAGTCGACAGTATCTCCAAGCAAATAACTCCAGCTTCCCATTGGCCCGAGATGAGAGTTATCATTTTAGTGGTAATTAGTATTTTTAATTCCAAAGCATAAAATTTCTGCACATAATATGAGTAATTGAAAGAATTTTTATTTTATATTTGCAGGTAAATGATTCAAGTAAAAAAATTTCCAGCGCAGTAGGAATGAAGCGATGTGTCCAAACATCAGAGCTGTTAAAGTACCGCGCTGAAGTTTGTGTTCCTAAGAGAGTCGAGTTGATGCAAAAAGCTATTATTAATAAAAATTATCAGCAATTTGCAGAGTTGACTATGAAAGATTCAAATCAAATGCACGCGGTGTGTCTTGACGCGTATCCGTCTTTCAATTACCTCACTGATGTTTCTCACGCAATTATTGATTTGATCAATTCTTACAATGAAGCTAGCAATACTATTAAAGTAAGTAATTGAAATTTTTAAATTATTATTTAGAAGTATAATTAATCGAGATATTTTAGAATTTTTTTACAAATAAATTATTGCAAAAAAATTTATTTAAAAGAATCATAAATACAATTTTTTTTAATAATTTAAATAATCATAAACTAGCAACCTTGCAGTCACTATGTACCTGCCGTAACTTGTGAACTTCAAGTAAATAAAATTTTGCTTCATTAAATAATGACTTTTGTTAAATCGCACAGTACTTTTTTAACTATTGACACTTTTAATGATACAAGCTCACCCCGATGTTACACTCATCAAGAGCTTTCATTTGAGTACCCACATGCATTTTAATATATTTTTCATATATACATATATATCATATAGATATATAAATATATAAAAAATTGATGTGGGTACTCAAATGAAAGGTCTCGATGAGTGTTATGTCAGGATGAGCTTATATATTAAAAAATGTCAATAGTTCACAAGATACAAGGTCATTTCTTAATTATTGACATTTTTAAAGATATAAACTCATTTCGATGTTACACTCGTCAAGACCTTTTATTTAAGTACCCACATGGAATTTTTTATGTATTTTATATATATGGTATTTGTGAAATATATAAAATATATGAAAAATTGATGTGGGTACTCAAATGAAAGGTCTTAATGAGTGTAACATCGGGATGAGCTTAGATTTTAAAAAATATTAATAGTTCACAAGATAAAAGGTCATTTTTCAATTATTGACATTTTTTCAGATATAAACTCATTTCAATGTTATACTCATCAAGACCTTTCATTTAAGTACCCACATGGCATTTTTTATATATTTTATATATATGGTATTTATGAAATATATAAATATATAAAATATATGAAAAATTGATGTGGGTACTCAAATGAAAGGTCTTGATGAGTGTAACATCGGAATGAGCTTATATCTTTAAAAATGTCAATAGTTCACAAGATACAAAGTCATTTCTTAATAATGTATCTAGAGATAGAGAATTTTCGACTACAGTCTAAATACTTATCATCATAAATTCACTATTGGTGAGAACGATATGAAACCTTGAAAAGGCACAACTCCAGGTCAAGTCCTTTCTAATGCTATCTAATTTAACCATAAAAACCCATTTTATCATATAAATACACTGGCCACAAAATTTTTCTTATTATCTTAATAATGTAATTTATTGTTGTATTTTTTTACAGGTCGCGTATACAAATGACGCAGGTCCAAATACTGTTTTATACCTCTTAGAAGAGAACGTTCCTCAAGTTCTTGGCCTTATAGATCATTTCTTCCCTTCTACTGGGAAAGATGATTACAAAAGAGGGGATTTCCCTATTAGTATTCCTCCATCGAAGGTACTGAGTATTTTATTTTATTTTCTTTTCATTCATTTTTCTTGGAAAAATTCATTCATCTCTAAAACGTAAATCTTTTTCCTATCAGGATTTAGTAGAAAAATTAAATTGTAAAAAGCACCAAGGATCTATAAAAAGTATAATTTACACCCGAGTCGGAGAAGGTCCCACGTATCTTGATGATCCCAGCGAGCATCTTTTGAATAATTCCGGACTTCCGAAAGGCCTTTAAAAATAGGACCACATTGTTACGTTTTTTATAATAAATGTATACTAATTTTTTTACTGTGGATTTTATACGGGTTTTTATAAATATATATAATAAATTGTTTTCATTATTTATAAAATTTATATTCTATTACCTCTGACAGTTTTTAAAAGAATCTTTTATTGTCATTTTATTTATCTGACTTAAAGAGAAGAATTAATATCACTATTTTAAAATAAAATAGTTTATTTAATTAGTAAAAAAAAAAAAAATCTGTCTTATCAGAAAAAAAAATTATACTTGCATGTTATATGTGTTGAATAAAACATTTCAAGATATTTATAAATTCATTTATAGGCTAAGAAAATTAAGATTGCAAATAAACAGCTGAGATAAATAGTAAGTAAATAATAATAATTTAAAAATTTTAATTGAATTTCATGAACAATTATTAATTAAAACTCAGATATTAAACCGACATTAAAGTTAGCAGTCACTTAACCATTTTTCAATTTTTTTTAACAAATAGATTTTTTCTAAAAAAATTTTTTTTTTAAATTGCATTTTTTATTTTTTGAAATTTCTACATGTCAATTTTTTTTCTACTTTTTTTTTTGCCATAATTTATTATGAAAATTAAGTTAGTCGGCATCTAAAAATTTTTAAAATTTTTATTATTAAAAAAATTATTACAAAATAATTAAAAAAAATTTTCATTTGTAAAAAACTCGAAAAACTGAAAGTGCAATTTTTAAAAAATATTTTTTAGTTCTAATTAAATAATTAAAAAGAAAAACAAAAAATTGAAAACGCCGGCTAACTTTAGTGTTATTAATTTATTTGTTAAAAAAAAAATCTTAAAATTAAATATCAATTATCTGCTAAATTAATTTTCACAATAAGTATTAAAATATAATAAATTTCTTTTTATAAAAAAATTATTGAGACTGAAGTTAGCTGACAGCTGTCAATTTAAAAATTTCCATAAATTAATTAAAATAAAAAACGTGCTCTAAAAATTTCTACCAATAATTTTTTTTTAATTTTCAAGTGTAGAATTTTTTAATTAGATTTTTTTTCATAATGTATAAGTGCAATAAAAATTAATGTATTAATTTTAGGTTATAAAAATTGTTAAATAATCAAAATGGCATCTCGCGGTCTGGAGTTAGTAAAAGCCGCAATTGAGAAAACTTTAAAAACAAAAACATGGGGTCAATTTTTAAAAAATGTAAATAGCAACAATTATTGATTATAAATTATAAATTATTTATAATAACAAATGATCAGTTATGATTATTAATTTCACAATGAATTGCAGCTTGAAGTTCTATCAGCTGATAAAGGTAATTGCACTGCGGAATTTACTGTTCAAGAAGAGCAACTAAACTACGGAGGTAGTCTTCACGGTGGTTGTACATGCAGCCTCGTTGACAGTGTATCTACCTACGCGTTGATGACACACGCTAAGAATCCTCATCCTGGTGTCTCTGTTGACTTGCACGTCTCGTAAGTACTAAATCAATATATATTTTGTTTTGTTAGGTATAATTATACACTCTAGGTCATAAATTAAATTTTAAAAATTCTTCTGAAGAATATTTTGCTCTGATAAGTCTGCAAGCAATTTAGTTTTGCATGTATTTAAAATAATTACTGTAATTTACTGAAACAAAATATTTATGAAAAAAATTTTTATTTTTTCATGATCTTGAAGTTAACTGACAGCTGTCAATTTTTTGGATTTTTATAATCAATAAATTTATATGAAAAAATAAAGACACTGAAGTTAACTGACGTTAGAAATTTTTTTATAATTTTATAGTAATTAAATTATTATGAAAAAAATTAAATTAAAAAATTTCACATGTGAAAGAAAATTAAAAAAAATTTTTTAAGCATTTTTTTTTTATTGTAATTGATTTTTTATAAAAATTTTTAAATTGACAGCTATCAGCTGATTTTTGTCTCAATAATTTGTTTATAGACAGAAATTATTATTTTAATAACTGAGCTTCAATTAATAATTTTTCATAAAGTTATTCAATTAAAATTTTTATGAACATTAATGAAAATGAAGTTAGCTGACATTTCAAAGTTTTTAGAAATTTTTTTTATCGAAAAAATTTCAATTAAACAATTAAAAAAAAAATATCACATGTTAAAAACTTGAAAAACTATAAGTGCAATTTTTTATAAATATTTTTTTAGTTGTAATTAAATTAAGAAAAAAAAAATCAAAAATTTTTAGACGTCTGCTAACTTCAGTGTCATGAAAATTAAGTTAGCTGACATTTAAAAATTTTTAGAATTATTTTTAATGAAAAAATTATTACAAAAAAATTTTTAAAAAAATGTCACTTGTAAAAAACTTCAAAAACTATAAGTGATATTTTTTAAAAATAGTTTTTCGTATTAATTTTATTATTAAAAAAAAATCAAATAATTAAAAACGTCGGCTAACTTTAGTATCATAAATTTTTGAATTATTATTGCTTAAAAATTTTTTTTATTAACAAAACTCGATTTTTCCATCAGGTTTATAAAAGCAGCGCTTCCCGGCGAAGTGATAACAATAGAAGCTAAAACTAAAAAACTCGGCCGCACTTTAGCCTTCCTGGATGTTGAAATGTTTAAGAAGAAGGATGGCTCGCTAATTGCTCGAGGATCTCACACTAAATTCGTGGGATTTGATTAAAAATATAAATAATTAAATTAGTACTCAGTGATTTTTAATTAAGCAAGTTGACTATTTATAAATTTATTATATACAATATGCGGTACGATTGCAAGCATAGCTGCCGGGTTGAACATTTATTTACAAAAAATTAAAAAAAACTATAAAGTTACGACTGAATTAATAATTTATATAATATATTTCAATAATTATTTAAACCAGTGATAAAAAATATTGTTTAATTAATTTGTCTATTAAAAATTAATTTTCTTCAATAATAGACATCAAAAAATATTTCTTTATATTTTTTACAATATTTTAATTTAAAAAAAAAAATTAAAATTAAGATAGTCGAGATCTAAAAATTTTTAGATTTTTTTTGCTACAAAAATAATTAAAAAAAAATATTTTTTAATTATAAGTAAATAATTAAAAAATTAAAAACGTCGGCTTTTAGTATTATTAAAAAAAAATTGTCTACTAGTATCACTGATAAAAAAATCGCTGATTATTTAATTGCATTAGTTAAGCGTAAACTATCAACAGTAATTAAAAAAATCTATTTAACTAAATTAAATCTCCAGCCATCCAGTTCTCAATAGTATTATTGGTGCTCTTGATAAACTCCTTGAGTTCTTCGACCCTCTTAAAAATTTTATTAACCAGCTTGTTAAGTATCCTCGCCTCTTCCCGAACATGTTCGACCATCATCACAACCTTGTCTTTGCTCTTATCACTATCATCAACCCGTAGCTGATGAGTATTAAATTTCTCAAGATATTTCTCCGCCGTAGGAGACCTGGGTAGCCTGACCCTCGGCAAGTTTCCATTAACACTAGTGCAAGTAGAGTCGAGGTCTCCGCAGCACTGTGACCAGAATCTCAAATCAACCGCTGGGATATCCTGACAAGAAACCATTTTCTCTCCATCTCTTTCAGGAAGTACGAAGACATTCTTTTGTATCCTGGTGATGTTATCTCCATTGTCGCATAAAATTCTCGCGAGGCTAGTCTGCTTGATCTGCTGGAGCTGCTCAGGCTTGAAGGTCGAGGGATTTTCGTACCACAGCCTGTCAGCGTTTCTGGTCCGCTTGAACTGCTCAAGAAGAAGACACTTGAACAGCGGACCGACCTTCGCTCCAGGCAATTGATCTTCAAGAATTCCTCCGACCCAGACGTCGATGTTCCCCGGGTGTCCATAAAGTTCTTGGAGCTTCCTTCTGACCTTCACGCTGGATATTTCATTAGCTAGCTCATCAAAGCTGTCAAATTCGTGGGAAAAATTGCAGAACTTTCTCCACTCTAGGTACCCTGGAATTCCATGCTCGCGCGCTCTCTGGATGTTCATAGCCGCCAGGTCCAGTGCGACAGCGTGAGCAGTCCTGAACAACTGCTCCGTCAGCTCGGTGTTGAGATTTTCTTCGGGCATTTTGAGCTTCGCTGCAGTGGCGAACATTCCCCGGAGAAGAGGATCGACTCCGCCTTCGTCGACCAGCCGCCAAGGAGAAAAGAAAGCGTCTCGCAGGTTCAGCGGGCCCTGGGGAATGCTCGACAAGTCTTCGCTCAAACGCTCCAACCTCGGTTGGATTATCGAGTGTCCGAACCTTAAAGCTGCTGTTGCGAAGACGTTGGAAATACTCGCGTCTATGTCTGGATTGTAACCCGTCCAGGAACCTATTAGTTCTTCGGTAGTCTGCCCGAATATTATTGGCAGCCAGTGCTGGTAAGTTATGTGCTGCATTTCAGCGCCTACTATTTTTCGCGCTTCTTGGTAAAGTCTCTCCCCGCTCCAGTGGGGGTTCAGTTCACTGAGGATTCGCGCTATTCGGTTGTGCTCTCGCAGCCAGATTGTGTGCATCGCTAGTAGACCTACTTGCTCGTTTGCTCGGATGTCTCCAGCGACGAAGCAGTTTATTGTTGATTCTATGGGGTTTCTTCGGCAGTCGACGAATTGGCCAGGTGTTGAGTAAGGTAGCAGTGGTTTTTTACCTGAAAAATTTTTTTAATATTAATTATAATAATAAAAATTTAAAACAAGTTATTATTATTATTTTGACAAGTTTAAAATTAATAGAAATAAGAATATTATTAATAATTTTTTTAATTTTAGGATTGGCTATCCAGTCTAATGCAACAATTTTTATTTATTCATAATAATTTTTAGCCTGTATTTCCTTCCAGGCATACACAATTTAGCCACATTTCATATCTAAATTTGTCATTAAAGATAAAATTCACTGAAAAAAAAACAGGGAGGGGAATACAAGCTAAAAATATTACAAATAAATAAAAATTGTTGTATTAGACTGGATAGCCAATTAACTTAAAATTGAAAAAGAATTGAAAACAACCAGACTTTAGAAATAAAAAATTATTAATTATAATAATAATTTTTTGAAAATTTTGAATATAAGTTATTTTTTTTGACTAGCTTAAGAATTCATAATAACAATAATAATAACTAACAACCTTGCAGTCACTGTGTGACTGCCGTGACTTGTATACTATTAATAAATGAAATTTGGCTTTATTAAACAATGACTTTTGTTAAATTGTACTTTTTTAACGATTGACGTTTTTAAAGATATAAGCTCATCCCGATGTTACACTCATCGAGACCGTTTATTTGAGTACCCACATGCATTTTGATATATTTTTGATATATTTATATATATGAATATATGAAAAATATATCAAAATGCATGTGGGTACTCAAATGAAAGGTCTCGATGAGTATAATGTAGGGGTGAACTTATATCTTTAAAAATGACAATAGTTCACAAGATAAAAAGTAATTTCTTAATTATGTTAAATTGCACTGTATTTTCTTAATTATTGACGTTTTGAAAGATATAAGCTCATCTCGATGATACATTCATCAAGAGCTTTCATTTGAGTACCCACATGCATTTTGATATATTTTTCATATATACATATATGTAATATATATAAATATATAAAGTATGTGAAAAATTGATGTGGGTACTCAAATGAAAGGTCTCAGTGAGTGCAATGTCGGGGTGAGCTTATATTTTTATAAATGTCAATAATTCACAAAATGCAAGGTCATTTCTTAATTATGTTAAATTGCACTGTATTTTCTTAATTATTGACGTTTTGAAAGATATAAGCTCATCTCGATGATACATTCATCAAGAGCTTTCATTTGAGTACCCACATGCATTTTGATATATTTTTCATATATTTATATATATTATATATATGATTATATATATAATCATATATATAATATATATAAATATATAAAAAATTGATGTGAGTACTTAAATGAAAGGTCTTGATGAGTGTAACATCGGGATGAGCTTATATCTTTAAAAACGTGAATAGTTAAGAAAGTACAGTGCAATTTAACAAATATCTTGTAAAATATTGACATTTTTAAATATGTAAGCTCACTCCGATGTTACCCTCATCAAGAGCTTTCATTTGAGTACCCACATGCATTTTGATATATTTTTCATATATATATATACATATATATATAATATATATAAATATATAAAAAATTGATGTGAGTACTTAAATGAAAGGTCTTGATGAGTGTAACATCGAGATGAGCTTATATCTTTAAAAATGTCAATAGTTCACAAGATACAAGGTAATTTCTTACTTATGTATCTAGAATTAGAGAATTTTTGAATGCAGCCTAAATACTTATCATCAGAAAATGACTATTGGTAAGAATAATATGAAATCATGAGATGGTACAACTTCCGGTCAAGACTTTTCCAATGCTACCAAATTTAACCATAAAAATCAATTTTATCATATAAATATACTGGCCACAAAATTTTGCTTATTCTCTTAATAATATAGATAATAATAATAATTGAATTAAAAAATTTCTTACCAGGTAAAGTAACTCCTTCTCTCAATAACCCTCTATTGTCATTATTGTCAGCATCATTATTAAGCGACCTTGAGGGAGTCATATCTCTGAGATCCAAAGCCAGCTCATCGTTGTATCCATAAACCTGAGAAGCGTCTAAATAACTAGTTAACTGATTCATCTGCTCCCGAGGCATAATTCCTTGACCCCAGAGAATACTAGTCATCCCGGAACCGCAGACCGCGCTCGTCCGTATGAAATCGATACACCGTCTATTAGTGATCCTTGGATCCCCCGGCGGCACTTGCATGGGAAAGCATGGTGCTGCGTTCTCACAGGACTTTTTACAGTCTATTCCGTCCCAGGACTCGGAAGAAACAGCTGGCAAAGCGTGGTCCAAATCGTGGTCCAGAAACTGCCCCCACTGCATCACCATGTGCGTGATCCTTGAGTCTGACGATATCTTGGATGTGGAAATAAGCTTGGTAGAAATCAACCTCGCGGGAGGTTTCTTGAATCCATAGTAGAGTTTCGAGGGGTCCCAGCCGATAGGTTGCGAGAATCCGTTCTCGTAAATCGGCTGGAGTATGCGGCGGAACCCGGTGTAAGATGATCCCCAGGTGGGATGCTTCAAGTTGTTGCAGCTACCGTCGATGCTTCTGTACTTGGTGTGGAAACATAAATTATTGCAAGTGTGTTTTTTTCTGTGGCCGGTACAGCCTGAGAGTCTTTCTATTTCTGTTATCTGCTCGGAGGTGAGTATGTCTTCATATTTAAAGGGTGATGATGAATTCACTGACATTCCTTTGTCCATGAAACGCCGGATGTTTAGTAGAGTCCTTTCGAAGATTTCTGCTGGTCTTGCTGCTGCTCTGCCGACTGCGTTCGGGAATCTAGTGATTTTAATTTTGATTATTAATTTTGAGTATTTGAAATTGTGATTGGAAAGTAATTACATCTATTTTATGTGAGAAAAAAATTAATATTGAAATTTTTTTAGTTGAAAAAATTGGATAAAAAATAATTTATAAATTTTTTTAAGAGTTTACCTATAAAAATGATGGAAAAATTTAGAATTTTAATTAATGCATAAGAAATTAATTTTTTAATTTATATTAAAGATTAAAGAATTATATAAAATATTTTTTATATCAACCCTCTCAATAAAAATTAGTTGTAAATTATTAATTCCAAAAATTCTTAATGAAAATAAATTATTAATCCAAAAAATTCTTAATAAAAATAAATAATTAATTCCAAAAGTTCTTAATAAAAAATTACAAATTATTAATTCCAAAAATTCTCAATAAATAAATAATAAATTTTGAATTCCGAAAATTCTTAATAAAAAACTAGCAACCTTGCAGTCACTATGTGACTGCAGTGACTTGTGAAGTATAAATAAATAAAATTGTGCTTTATTAAATAATGACTTTTGTTTAATTGCTCTGTATTTTCTTTACTATTGACGTTTTTTAAGATATAAGCTCATCCCGATGTTACACTCATCAAGAGTTTTCATTTGAGTACCCACATGCATTTTGATATATTTTTCACATATACATATATATAATATTTACAAATATATGAAAAAGTGGTGTGGATACTCAAATGAAAGGTCTCGATGAGTGTAGCATCGGAATGAGCTTATATCTTTAAAAATGTCAATAGTTGACAAGATACAACGTCATTTCTTAACTATTGATATTTTTAAAGATGTAAGCTCATCCCGATGTTACGCTTATCAAGAGCTTTCATTTAAGTACCCACATGCATTTTGATATATTTTTCATATATACATATATATAATATATATAAATATATGAAAAATTGATGTGGGTACTCAAATGAAAGGTCTCAATGAGTGTAATGTTGGGGTGAGCTTATATCTTTAAAAATGTCAATAGTTTACAAGATACAAGGTAATTTCTTAATTATGTATCTAGAGCATTTTCGAATGCAGCTTAAATACTTATCATAATAAATTGACTATCAACCCTGATTCTGAAAGATAATTTGAAATGATTACCTTTATGTTAATTGTATGTCTATATAGTA